CTCTCTCTCTCTCTCTCTCTCTCTCTCTCTCTCTCTCTCTCTCTCTCTCTCTCTCTCTCTCTCTCTCCACACACACACACACACACAAGCACACACACACGCACATGAAAAATAAAAAGGAAAAAATAAACATAAAAAATACAAAATACAAAATCAATCAATCAATCAAGCAAGCAAGCAAGCAAGATGTTGATTGATTGATGGATTGATTGTTGGTTTGATTATTTGATTGATTGACGGTTTGGGCCATTTTCTTGATTGATTGATTGATTGTTTGATTGATTGTTTGTTTTATTTTGTGTTGGTGCAAGCAACATCCCCGACTGATCAACGTCGCCGGCGGATCCCATTGACAAGTGCCTAAGGACGGGGGTTCAACGGGAGCAATTGGAGTTTCAACGGGGTTTCAACGGGGTTTCAACGGGGTTTCAACGGGGTTCCAACGGGGTCCGGAATTTTCAACGGGGTTTCAACGGGGAGAAACAAGGCGGGTGTTACCTGGTTGGGACGGGGCAGGCCAAGAATACGTCCTTCTGTGTGGCGCCGCTGGGCACGAGGTGTCGGAGGGGAGGCGCTTACGACCGGACGGGCGCGGCTTTGAGGGGGTTCACAATGCCTCGAAAACAGACTCGCGAACATGAGCCCGCGCCCGAACAAGTGCAGCAGGATTATATGCGCAAATCTGTTGTGCACCATTACATTGTTGTCGGCCAGAAGGTCGACAACAGGGTGGTTAATATGCTACGGTGCACCTTCTGCAATAAGGTGTTTCAGGGAACTGAATTCTACGCAACGAAACACTTCACCCAGCAGAATTATTGCAAGAAGGTGTCCAATGATGCGTTGTATCAGATTGTGCAGAAATGCACACACCGCTTCGAGGCCGATCAGGCAGAGAGGGTGTGGCGTTTCGCACACGAGCGTGGTCTCGATGTCCCGCGGTCAGGTGCGATGGGTGGCGAGGCGGAGCGTCCTGCACAGGGCGTGGGCGAGGGAGAGGATACCGAGCGTTATGCGGAGGGAGGTGCTGCGAGATATGGGGAGGGTGCGGGTGCCGCGGAGGAGGAGGAGGCACACGTTGACCTTGAGGTTGGCGTTGCCGAGGGGGAGCGGACACCGAGGGGAGAGGGAGGCGTGCCGAAGTTCGATCCGACGGCTCATCAGAGGGCGGTGGACTGGGAGCGGAGGTGCGGGAAGAAGGCCGTCCCGCCTGAGACGACATGCACGCCGAGTTCTTCGAAGAGTGCTGTTCCTGATAGAGCGAGCACGCCGGGTTCTTCGAGGAGGAAGGAGGGGGGTGCACAACTTTCTGGCACCAGTGCAGGGAAGAAGCTGCGGCAATAGAAAATGACGGACACGTATGGTGGTGAGTGGATTGGTGAGCGGAGGAAGGCATTCTTTCGCTGGGTATATTCCAGCGGGATTGCCTTCAATGCCTTCCGCAACACGCCGTACCGGGTCCTCCAGCAGGTTGCTCTTCGGCAACCTGGTGGAGCACCTCTTCCCGTGCTTCCATCCCACAGCGAGATCGCAGACATGCGAACTGTGGAGATCCACCGCGAGCAGTTGGTGGAGGAGTTGGAGGAGGTTAGGCAGCCATTATGGGTGAGTGGCGCCACCCTCCTCTCTGACGGGAGGAAGTCACGAGATGGGCGACCGATCGTGAACTTCCTCGCAGCTGGGTCTCGAGGGGTCGTCATGTACACGACGATCAACCGAGAGGGGGAGCCGGACGATGCGGTGCACGTCCTGCAGAGCTGGGTCGCCATCTTTCATGATTTCAGATTCGGTGGCCCACAGCGGGTCAATGCTATATGCACTGACTCTGCCTCTGCATACGTGGGGGCTGCGAGGGCTTTGGCCTTGCCATCTATGCCCCCTGAGCTGAGGAGGATTACTTGGCTCCCGTGTTGCGTTCATGTTTGCAACAAGTTGTTGTCAGACATTGGCACGATCTGCACCTCTTTCGTGGACACGATCACGTGTGCCCGAGTTCTGGTGGTGTTTTTCAAAACCCACCAGGCCGCTCTCAGCTTCTTTCGGAAGCGGAGCGTGGCGTTGGGGTTCGTGCTTTCATGCGAGACGCCCTTTGCGTCCGTGTACTCCATGTTGGAGAGGTTGCTCGCTTTGCAGGATCGTTTGCAGGGCATGATGACAGCGGAGGACGGTCGGGCATGGGCTAGGATCCTGTGGTCCCCCAACGTTTGCGACATGGCGCGTTGGGTGCGCCGACAGATCAGGTGGTCCCCTTGGTGGGAGAGGATGCGTGCCATCAAGCACGTCATGGATCCTGTCATGGACTTACTAAGGCGGATGGACCGTGGCGGGCAGTTCATGTCCCTCGTTGTAGAGTGGACTCGGGATCTTGCACGCCTTGTGCGGGACGCTTGCATTCCTCTTGGCCAGTCCTTTTCTGACCGTATCATGAGGCGTGTGCAGGCCCGTATACAGCACATGCTGGAGCCCGCACACTGCGCCGCGTTCTTACTGAACCCCCGTCGCCGGAATGTTCAGTACTTCTCCGCGCAGCTCGACCGGTACCACACTTGGCTTGTTCGATAAGCCAAGAGGTATCTGTTGTCTCAGACGGGCCACGATGAGTCGGGTGGTCATTACCTTTAGGTATGTCGGCAGTTCGAGGGCTTTCACATGCAGCAGGGTAGGTATGGGTCTTGGGGCGGGGCAGAGGGCCGCGCTCGAGCGCGTAGTTGCAGCGGAGACTGCGAGACGTTGGAGTGTGCGTCGTGGTGGTCTCAGTACGGGGAAGAGGCGCCCGATTTACAGCAGTGCGCTCTTCGTTTGATGCACATGTGGTCCTGCGCCTCTCCAGCGGAGAGGAACTGGGCGGTCCACGAGGGCATCCATACGAAGAAGCGTAATTAGTTGGCCTTCGAGAAGGTCGTTCATCTTGTTGAGATCACCGCAAATGTGCGGTTGATGGAGTATAGACGTGCAGGTTGTGGATACGTCCTCCCTTGGCAGCGAGACAAGGGCATGCTTGACACGCAGGCGGGATTGGACGTGGAGCCTATGCGCTCGGGGATGAGGAGTGGGATGACGGAGGAGGAGATCGAGGAGCAGGCTGCCCTCATTGCGCGCAATCCCATTGGGTGTTCTGCGCCGCCCCCTGTTGAGTCTGTTTTCGGTGCTCGTGCGACTATCTTCTGCCCATACCCCAGGGACGATGACTCTGCGGACGAGAGGGAGTCGGAAACAGCGGACGACCCGATGCTTCCCATCCCGCGTGAGATTGATGAGTTGCACGAGGGGGGCGACATGCGTGACGAGAGGACGCACACCGCGCGGAGGGCGGCAGACCAGCGAGATATAGATATGATAGGGGGCGAGGAGTCTTGGGGATCTTTCGGGGGCACGGAGGAGAGATCACCCACTGCCGCGCGGGAGGATACGCGTCCTTGCATGACCTTGCGGGAGGAGACGCCTGCTCCCATGACTGCGAGTGAGGAGCCGGGTCCTGTCACGACAGTGCGGGAGTGGACGACTATTTCGTCGACCGCGCAGGAGCAGACGCCTGCTCCCACGACCACGCGAGAGCAGACGAGTATTCCCGCTACGCATTTCGGACCCTCGTCCCTGTCGCCTCTTTCGCGTCATTCTATCCCAGGATTCCCAGCATCCGCTCCGCCCGCTCCCGTTCGGCATGACGAGCGCTCACCTGCACCGGTTGGGAGGGAGGACTTGGGATCCTCGTTGCGCAGCCGCGAGCATGGATCATTGTTTATCGTAGCCCGTCAGCTCGTTTTGGACCCGGGTGCATCGAGCGACTTAGGGGAGATGGGTGTTCATAGCGGGCCACCACCGGTGGAGGAGAGGGAGAGACGAGCGGAGGAGCACGGAGCTGCCGAAGCGGGCGGAGTTGAGGGTATTCGGGGTATGGAGGAGAAGGTAGCTGGAGTAGTGGGGGGCGTGGTGGAGGTAGATGATGATGCGCACGTCGAGAGAGAGGAGGGCGTGCTGCCATCGGAGGTTGAGAGAGAGGACGATGTGGTGACGATGCAGGAGGCGACGATGAGGGACGATGAGGGAGAGGAGGTTGCGGCAGGGGTAGACGAGAGCGTGGCTGGGGTAGATGATGGTGCTGCCCAGGTTGAGATGGAGGAGGATGTGGTGAGGGCAGATGCTGCTATGTTGGTTGGGGGAGAGGAGGGTGTGGTAGGGGGGGACGTCGCCCATGTTACAGGAGAGGGAGGCGCCCACGTTGACCCGATCGTCCAGCGTTTCGTTGATGACGAGACGGGTCCCGCACTAGCGGGTTTGACCCCGGGCACGAGGAGGGCACTGGGGGCGTCGCCATCAGGACAGAGGGGGGCGTCAGGGCTGGGGATGGGGGATTTCATGGACATGTCTTTGGGGGATCCGCCCACCCCTGCTCACGCAGAGAGAGAGGATGTGGCGCGTGCCCTAGCGGTCGTTGGGTACTCCACACAGGAGATTGAGTACGCATTTGCAGGACGCTCCAGGAGAGAGACAGACTCGCTTCAGCAGGGGTGCGAGGAGGTAGTAGAACAGGCACAGGAGGAGCGTGAGGATGCACCCCCTGCGGATATCCACGGAGGTAGTAGTTCGTTGGTACCGTTCACGGGCTTGCAGATGACGACGACGATGCGGCCAGTTCGACCGTGTGTGCAGGGGTCAGGTTCTAGGGAGGAGGCATTTGTTCAGGTACCACCGGTCATAGTCGTAGATTTAGGATCTGAGGCAGTTCTTCATACAACGGTTACTGGGCGGCGAGCACCTCAGGATACAGCTCGCCCATTGGATTTCGCGGAGCTCGCACGGGCTGCTGTGCGTGACGTGACGAGGCGGGAGAACACCGACCCTAGCAGACCACTTATGTCGCCTCCTCCTCCGAGATCACGTCACAGCGATTCCCCCTCGACACCAGTCGGTCGGCCCCCCCATTCACCATCCACGCCCACCAGACCCAGGGTTCGTGACACGACGGCCGTAGGGAGCCTCCCTCTTGACACGTCGCTATTCGGGAGGACGGATATCGACCTGGAGTCCGTACGTCGGGTCACAGTGCACACTGCACGACAGCAGCCAGGTTTGGGTGGGGCTGACACCGGGAGGGGTGCGCCGAGGGAGGTCATGGTGGCAGTATCTCAGCCGCGAGATGTTCGCGGGGTTGGACAGGCCGGGTGTACCTTGCAGGCTGCTTTGGCAGCACCAGCACATGCTGTGCGTGAGCAGACATCGCGCAGGAGCGGAGTCGCTCGTACGAGTTTCATGCCTCAGATGATGCCTGCCACGGGGGATGACGCGTTGGAGGAGTCTTCTGGAGCCGAGGGGTTGGAGATGCCGCGCGGTTCTCGTCGTGAGAAGACAGTCGCAGAGGTGACTCAGGTGAGTGCTAGGCTTGTTCGGGCGAGGACAAGGGATGCCCATGTGACCGTGGTGGAGGACGATCCCGAGACGGAGCCTGCACGTGAGGAGGCCCCATAGGAGGGTGACGAGTACAGTGACAACGAGGAGCGTGAGGAGGAGGAGAGCGACAACGGGGATGATGACAGCTACCACGACGACGACGACGAGCCCTCCCCTCCACCGCGGCATGGTTCTCGTAAACGACGTGGCTCTCGTAGAGGACATGATGACGTAGACGACCCGTCCCCTCCAGGGCGGCGGGAGACGAGGAGTCAGAGGAGGCGAGGGAGTGTTTCGTCGACACGCAGCACGAGTGGGGCGAGGCAGAGAGGCAGTGGTAAGGGGAAGGGAAGTCGACGGTATTGACAGCTTCGTTCCCCTTCCAGTGCTTCGACGACGCCTTTATGTTGTTTGTGCTTAGTGTTCTAACGTTTTTGTATATTGTTTATGATGATGTACATATAGTTAGGTTTTAGGGACTTCGGACCAGTTCATGGACTTCAGCATGCAGGTAGACTGGGTAGTGTCGTCAACAGTGTTTGTTTGTTTCGTTTTTCGGTTTATGTACGGCATTTTCATATTGTTTTTTAGTTATTGGGTTTTTGTTAGAGGTTGGACTTCATTCTAACTTGTCGTTTTACGTAGATGTTTGTTAGGGTTTTATTTTCAACTTTGTTAGTTAGCGATGTAGGCTGCATCCCATCGGTGTACGGCCCTATGCGACTCGGCACGAGTGTCGACGACACATTGTACCATGTGAGATGTATTTCATATTGGACTCCTGTATGCGACTTCGCCGACACTTCGGCATGACTTTTGTATGACATTTCATGACTACTTTGTTTTCATTGTAGTTTCATGTTCTTCTATGCGGTTATTCTTGTGTGTGTGTGTGTGTGTGTGTGTGTGTGTGTGTGTGTGTG